ACACGCCCACAGCACCACCATCATTCTGATTTCATTCCACTCTAGGTTCTATTCCATTTCATGAAGTATTCTGATATAATTATTCATATTGTATGCATCATGTATGTATGTAATTTATTTGATGAATGGAAAAAAAAAATTGTATAATGAATGTGAATAGAAAAAACTGAAGAAAAAAAAAAAGTAGGATGCAATAATAGAAAGAATGAAAAAAAATATATGATGTTATAATGTGTATTTGTATGTATACTGTGTGTTTAAGTGTATTTTTATGTATAATGTGTGTATTTATGTATGAAAAAAACAAAGTACAATGCTATAATGGAATGTGTATTTATTTTATTATATGTGTAATTGTATGTCTAGAAATTATGTATGTAGTTTGTGTGTTTGTATTTGGATGTTATAATGATATAAATGAAATTGTATGTCTAGAAATTCTTCATATTGTAATTGTATGTATAGAAATTATTTTATTATATGTTTATTTATTTTATGTTATTATATATGTAATTGTATGTATAGAAATTATTCATATTGTAATTTTGCAGGGTATATATGGGGTTTAGCTGGGCGGTACTCTTTTACGTGATGGCAAATGTTATGGACTTAGCACATAGAGGTGATAGAGCCGGGGATCCACCACCTCCTATAGGCTTTGGTCGTGGATAACACAAACAATATGGTAAGTTTTATTATGATATATTCATTACCTATTTTTATCTATTTATTATAAGCTGTTGTGACTAATATTTTTAATTATAATTTTCAGCTGAGCTTCCTAAAAAAAGAAGAGGCCTAGTAAAAAACATCCAACTATTAATATCGATACATGAAAACAAGGGAAAGCCTGGAGAATTGGATTTCGACAGGGAGATCACGTATTCCCCTGTCGGAAGCTATGGTAACTGGTTTACCTGTGAGATTGGGAAGTATATGTGGATGAATATCCCTTTGAGCGTATTTGGTTGGGAAAATGTTTCCCCCGCTTTAAGAAATGTCACAGTGGTGTATGTAAAGGTAACAAGATTAATATTTTAAGTTTAGTTGTGATTGGTATTTAATTAACTAACTTTTTTTGAATTTTTAGAATAAGTTTGATTTGGATAAGGCTAACTTGGATCCCGAACGTGCTCAGTTGTTGTAGAGTATTGATGCAACTTTACAAAGAGTTTATAGAGGTCGGAAAAATAAAGGACATACTTATTTTCAGAATGTCGGGGGGCTTACAGATATCCCAAGGGCATTAGCCAACCCCCTTGACGGTATGTCACATGAAAAATGGGCGCAAGCAGTCGAACATTTTCAAACTCCTGAATTTTTAAAGCGTTCAGTGTCAAACAAAGGAGTTCGTCCACAACAACAAGTTGTAAATAGAGGGGGGTAGTGCTCGTATAGCAATGCATGTTTCAAAGAAGTAAGTTATGATATATTTAAATATTTATTTAAATTATAATTAATCTAATTTTTAATGTTAAATAGGACATCACTCGAATCGAAGCATTTCAAAAGACTAATACTGATCGTCAAGGGGTATTTACTAGTTCTGCAGTCGAGCAACAATACGTAAGCGCTTAATTTGTATTTTTTTTCATATAAGTGTTTATATTGTCAATAGGTATTTAGTAATCTAATTTTTATGATGTTTGTCAGTTTTTGAAAATACAGAATGCTTTACTCCATGATATCAATCAATAAACTCAATCTTCTTCTGAAGTTAGCGGTCTAACACCAAAGGATACACAAATTTGTTTTGAAAGAATATTGGGTGTTCGACAAGGCCATATTAGAGGCATCGGGCGTAAACCTTCTACGGTTGTGTTGATGTACGATCAGGAACAACCACTGACACAACCACCACCACAATCACAGGTAACAAGGCTATTTGATTTTGGTAATTACTTCAAATGTTGGTAATTGTTGGTTCAGTATTAGGAATGTTGGTATTTGTTAGTTTGATAATATTTTATATGTTGGTAATTGTTAGTTTGGTTATACTTTGATATATTGGTATTTTGTAGTTTGGTAATTGTTAGTTTATGAAATTGCAATGCTATAATGGTATTTTGTAGTTTGCTAACTGTTAGTTATTGTACAATGCTATAATGTGTTATATACAATATGTATATTTGATAATTGTTATTTTCTGAAAGTACAATGCTATAATGGTATTTTGTATATAGAATGTTATAATGTTGGCTTAACTAATTATAAGACTATGTTGTTTTCTTTGTAGTTGGAAATACATCAAACAATGTTAAAAGATCCGACATGTAGTGCCGCACTTAAAGATTGGTTTCGTTCGTTGCCACAAAGAAATGAAACTGAAGGAAACGAGGAGATCGACGATGACGAGTAGCTAGTTGTATGATTTTTGTATGTTTTGTTTGTGTAAGCATTTTAGACTAGTATTTTTGATATTTTTTATTATGCTAAATTGAATGATTATTTTAAATAGATGTTGGATTAATATTTTGGAATGGAAGGATGTAGGATTATAATAATAAATATCATAACAGTTTTTATAGTTTTTATACTGTTTTTTTCAATTATAATATGAAATATAAAAAAAACAAAAAACAAAAAACAAAAAAACAATAACGGCGACGCCTTTAGTGGCGACAGTCAGTTATTAGCGGCGACAACCGCCTTTAGCGACGACAACTAGTAGTAGCGGCGACATTTGGATTATCAGCGACGAGACGTCAGCGACGACCTTTTAGCGACTACACGTTGTCGCTAATACTATTAGCAGCGACATACGCTATTATTAACGACGACACGTGTCGCCGATAATACATTAATTTCTTGTAGTTTTTAATGATGTGATGAAGGTTTTATGGTCTGAAGTTAATTAATGGTGTATTTTTGTTTAATAGTGCGTACGTAACTATTTAATACTTCTAATAATTTAATGATGCGGTGAATGTTTAATGGTACGAAGTCAATTAATGGTACATTTTTTGTTTAATAGTGTGTAATTATTTAAATTTTTTGGAACCGGTAAATATAAATATATATTATAAGAAATTAAAAAAAAAGGCCTGGACTAGCAATGAGTTAGAGGGAGCAATCCAGTTTCACTTTACATCATTTTTGATCGTATTGCATTACATTTGGAATTCAATTAGATAAAAGGATACGAGCACTACGTGTAATAATTTAATACTGTGAAATATTTATTTTTGCGGGTTAGTCTTAATTTGTGAGGTGTATAAACCTTCCAGGATGTGTTTATTGATGCGGTTAAAGTAAATACATCATTAAATGTTGGTATTTAATGATGCTTAGTTTGTTGGTGTGGGCACTTACATGTAATATTTAAACAATTTAACCGCATAAACAAATGTGTTCTATCCTAGTGAATGTTACAAAATACAATTTACTCATTGTAGACAGAAAAATTAGAAGCCGAAGCCATCGTGAGATGGAGTCGTTTTTATTTATTTTTTTAACTTTATTAGCAAGAGCAGAATAAACGGTTTACAAGAAATAACCATTAACTGATAGGCATGGGAATTATAACCCATGCATTTAACCTTTATGAACATGTATTATCTAATGAAAACAGCAGCATTTCATTACACCTTGTACCATCTCGCAACCATGTCCTGTTTGACGGCCAACTTGTTTACATACTGTTCCGCAATTCACTTTGACTGCCATACAATCTTTAGTGCACTTATCTGTCTCGACAGCTGTATACATACAACTACATTTAATCACTACATGCTTGAGAGTTGTATAGATAAACCAAAATTGAAAGAAAGTTATCATATATAGATTAGTCGGGAGCATGGTCTTGTAAAGAAAGGACAACACAAAAAGTATCGTGGAAAGATATTTTTTTAAAGTGGAAGCCATCAGGTTCATACCTGGTAATGCTTGGTTTGATTGGAAGTAAAGATGTCACAAAGGATGATTGTTATATGTAGCCAACTGCATGTTTCTTAATTAACAAATATAACTTTCTGTCATCATGAACATCAGTCTTCCTAATTTGTCTTGCTTATGTTTGAAACAAAAACCAGCAGTGTTTGCGTGGTAATTGGTAGAAGAGAAATTAAATATCCTCCTACCTTATGATCCTCCTCCTAACCATTTAAGTGATAACATGTACCATATTAGTATTCTAAAATATCATTAAATCTCATTAAATGTTACACATGTCACCATTTCATTGGATAGGAGGATATGTAGGAACAAAAAGTACGAAGATATTTAATTTCTCTTGGTCGAAAGGTATTATTTTTCTAATTTTATTCTTTCAATAGATTTTATACACAATCTCCCTCTATATTTTTCTAATTTTATTCTTTCAACAGATTGTTATATGTAGCCGGCTGCATGTTTCTTAATTAATAAATATAAATCAATCTTGCTAATTTGTCTTGCTTACGTTTTGAAACAAAAACTAGCAGTGTTTGTATTTGTGGTAATTGGTAAAAAGGTAATATTTTTCTAATCTCTCTCTCTCTCTCTCTCTCTCTCTCTCTCTCTCTCTCTCTCTCTCTCTCTCTCTCTCTCTCTCTCTCTCTCTCTCTCTCTCTCTCTCTCTCTCTCTCCCAAAGTTTTAGCGTTTAATAAAATCAATGCATGTCATGGCGGTGTTATACATTTTTCACTACTCTACTCGTGAATCTATATTTTTTTACTGCATAGGGACTTAAACCCTCACTCTTTGGTAGAGGGGCACATATTCGTCTGCTCATAATACCGTTAGGCGAAAGGCCTTTCGGTTTCAAGGTGTTATAGTTAACTTTAGAAGTTTGTAAATTACTTGCATCAACTTTAAAATGGTTGTTTGAGATGGGTTTTGTTGAATCACAATTAATTTGAATATTCTTTATCCGAAAATTCTTTTACACCAAAAAGAACATTGTAGCTTTTGTTAATAGAAGTAAATTACAAATACCTCCATAGTTGTAACATTATACACAGGGAACATGTGATTTAGTTTTGCGACGTTTAATGCTAGGAATGGCGAGTCTAGAATAAAAACCCATATGATTCACTAATTTTTCTATAGAAAAATTTATATACAAATTCAAGGATTTTATGAGTAAGATAGGTCACAAATTATTTTTAAGGTAGTTCATCAAAAATTTTCTATAGTAATTTTATATAACCTAAAAAAAATAGGTGGGTAATTGGACCCACCTTCCATGCAGATAGCCCCGCCCTTGGCTAGGAGTGTAGGATATCGATTGTCTATATATTGATTATGCCAAATTAGAGGCGGGATTAGGAAAAAAAATACTTCTTAAAATTAATTCCAACAAATTTTAAAATTGTTTTGATGTTTCAAGAAACCAACCCAAGTTGATGTCTAACCAAATATTATTCTTCATGAAAAGTTTCGGTAGAAGAAATTCGCTTAATACCGACGACTGTGTTAGCGGTGACATATCAAAAATGTCGCCGGTAATGCCTTTGTTGCCACTAATACCGTCGCCAATATTGATAGAAAACCTCGATTTATGTCAAATGTTCAGGCACACCGGTCGTCGATCTTAATTCCAATCCAACGGTTAAAGATGCTCATCGTACAAGATTATTATCAGTGACATCAATAGTAACGACTCTGTCGCTGCTAATACCCTAAAAAATGTTGACCGCGGAATCTTACGTCCATTTAATTTCGTGTGTCACCGCTATTGCTCCTTGTTGCTGCTATTACCATCGCTGGTAATAGCTTACATCGATTTCAACCCCCTGTCGATGTTCTTCTTTCTCACTAATAGTCTAACACTCCCACTTCTCTTCTCCGACGATTACGACTCCACTCCCACCCTTTGGAAAGCTTAAGGCCCTTTACCAGCCGATTACCACCTCCGACCGAAAGGAACACCACCGGGGTGTTTATACCGGTGATTTGGGGGGTTTACCAATGATTAGTTGTGTTTCCGGCGACCCTTCGACCACAAAACCACCGACTGTAAGTTATTTTGTTGTCCCACCTGTCGGTTTTTCTCCTCTGAAGTGTGTCCACCCTAATATGTTTTTTTATGAATAATAAATCCACAAATAGCCATTGTTGCTGCTGCTCCGGCGAGGCGACCGCCATTGTAGATTTTTGTGGCAAAAATACCACCACATGTGCTTCTGATTTCGATTTCAGGTTAGTGATTCTGTTTGGTATGTAAATAGAAATCTACGATTATTTGATGGTATGCAAAAAGTCGATGATATTCAAACATATGATATTTGGTATTTGGTATGCAATTTTGTTTATATAAGAATATTTTATATTGTTAATTATGACTGGTTTTTACTTCGCTACCTTTTTTTATTTTTATAGACAAAATTTGTTTTGGATGGGATGTCCCGGGATCCAGACGCTGCTATACTATTAGAGAGTTTTGAAGCGACTTTTTTAAAAGGTTATCGAGAGCGTGAAGCTGACGCAAAAGAATATTTTTTGCAAGTAGGGGGGGGGGGGGGGGGTTATAAGTATATCCTGCGAGCATCAGCCAACCCCCACATAACATTACTTCAGAAAGGAACAAAAAAACTCCGTGAAATGCAAACGACCGTGAACCATGAGGGGTCGAGCTCGTATAACATTACTTGCTATAAGAAGGTAACGTACGATATTTATAATTATTTTTTTAAAATATTATCTAATTTTTAATGTTAAACATAACCTAAAGGTAGTGGAAACGTTTCCCAGGGCTCATGTCGGTAGAAATGGTGTATTTATTAGTATCAAGGTAGAACAACAATACATAAGTATTTAGTTATAATTTTATCATATAATTAAGTGTTTATTTATACTTACCTGTTAATCACTTTTGGAAAACACAGAATGAATTAGTGGAAGATCTCTTAGAACAAACACAAGGGCCAGAAGGTGAAAGAGAGTTAACACCTGCTCAAGAAAGAGCTACTTTCGAGAGAGGATCAGTTGAATGATATGTCTATATCAGAGGTACTGACCTCAAACCTTATGCTATCTCGCCGATTGCATAGCTATCGAAGCCATCACCACAGACATCACAACCATCATAGGTAAAACAAGATTATTTAATTTCAATAAATGCATGTTGATTTGGAAATTTTGGTTTGTGGTGATTATGTTCTAAAAGCTTTGGTAATTGGTTTTTTGTGCCAAGTGCAAGAAATAACAATGTACTTTGGTTTTTTGTCCAAGTTTAAAAATAACAATGTACTTTGGCATCAATAAATACATGTTGATTTGGTAATTTTGGTTTGTGGTAACTATTTACTAAAAGCTTTGGTAATTGTTTTTTGTTCAAAGTGTAAAAAATATCAATGTATTTTGGTTTTTTGTCATAGTTTAAAAATGACAATATACTTTGGCATCAATAAATGCATGTCGATTTGGCAATTGTGTTTTTGTCCCTAGTGCAAGAAAAAGCAATATACTTTTGGTATTTCTTGTATTTAAGTGCAAGAAATAGCAATGTACTTTGGTTGTTTTTATTTATGTTTGATAATTTAACTTATAAGTTTATATTTGTTGTTATTATTATATAGTTGGAAAATTTTCGGGCAATGCTCAACGAGCCAACGTGTAGGGAGGAGCTTTATGCGTTTTTTCAATCAGGGAAAGATCAATGAGGAAACGATAGGATCGGAGGTGATGGTTTGTCGGATAATTTGTATGTTTTTTTGTATGTTAGACTTGTCATGATACTTTGGTACTGGCGTGTTGTAATTATAAAATTTGATTGTTTATTTTAGTATGAAATAGATTATATACAATGTCGTCACGTATTTAATGTCGTTATGTAGAATTTTTCTGCATTTAATGTCGTTATGTATCATTCTTTTTGCACCAAAATCGTTGATAAAAAAGATAATTAAAAAAACGAAATAATGTTATTACCGGCGATAATAGCATTACCGGCGACAATAACATTAGCAGCGAAACTGGCTATTATCAGCGACATTTTGAGCAATAGCAATATAGCAATAACAACGATTTTTTACCGGCAATGTGTCGCCGCTATTATCTTTATCAGTGATTTTTCTTGTTTTTAGTTGCGAAAAAAGTCCCCGCTAATTCTCTTTTTTCTTGTAGTGAATTAGCATGACATTTTTTTGTATTAGAATTCATGTTCATGACATTTGTTTCTATATTAGGTACGACACGTTTCAAGCCGAACTATCTAGACGGAAATCCAAAACGTTGTCTTTTAGGAGGAGATTGACGTTAATTAAGGCAGTATTGGGTAATCTTCCAACGTATTACATGTCATTGTTTAGAGCCCCAATTGGTGTCATAGAAAAACTTGAAAACATTCTCCGGAAGTTCTTATGGGGTGGAAATGAAGAAAAGAACAAAATTCATTGGGTGACTTGGGATAAAGTTGTTGTCCTAAAGATCTTGGTGGGCTGGACGTTGGATGAATTAGAGCGTTGAATGTGGCATTATTAGTGAAGTGGTGGTGGAGAATCAAAGAGGAATCATCCTCATTATGAGCTAAATCCATTGTTAGTCTGCACTATCTGAAAAACAAACCGGCAGATCATTTAGCAAAAAAAATAAAAGGTTTTTGTAACAACATTCATGGGCAGGTGCTAAAAAATTAAAATTTTTATACCCAAAGCTATATAAGATCAAAAGGAAGAAAGCATGCAAGGTTGCAGAAAGAATTAAGGAAGGGGTATTCAATGGATATCGAAAGTCTTATCCAATGGTTGTTGGTCTAGCTTCTCACGTGGACGGTCTATCGGCTACTATTAGGTCAGTTAACACCCAATCTGGTGATGACCAATTTTCTTGCCTAATTGCACCTGATGGGGTTTATCAGGTTCATTTGTTAAGAGTGAAGATTGACACGAATCCAGCTGCCATTTCCAATAACACAAAGATTAGCTGGAGTAAGCTCATACCGATAATAGTTACCATGTTCATATGGTGAGCATTACTAGACAGAATACCATCATCTAAGTCACTTACAAAAAGAAGTGTTAAGATCGATTCAAGTTCCCGTAATTCGTGCATAAGCAGTGTGGATGCCACGAATCATGTACTGATAAAATTTTCTTTCACTTTCACTGTACGCAAAAGCTTATTCAGTTCGTATTGCTCCTATAAATGTCAAGAATATAGAGCAGTTGATAAAATATGCAACAAATTGGGGTCGATGCCCGAAAAGAGAGAGCGACTAAATGGAATTTTGTTATGGGATGTTTTCGGGTCTTTGGAGAGCAAGAAATGATTGTATATTCCAAGCAAGATTCATTAATCCAGAGGGTGTGGTTGACAACATCAAGGCGATGGAATACATGTGGATTAGGTGTAAAGGCAAGAGTTGTATTTGTAATTAGGTTGAATTTTGTTCTGATCCATTTTTGTTTTAATCTCTCTTATTTTCTTATATGTTTGACCTCTGCTCCCCTATAGTTACTTGCTATTTTGGGTGAGTCTTTTTTATATAAAACTAGCCACTTAAAAAAAAGAATATCAAAACACATGCATTAACTACATACACATTTTTTAATAAACAATGAATATATCATTTAAATAGGAGTCCTAAATGGCAAGAAGCTAAGAGAATGGAGAAGAACATGAGTTACATATTCTAGATACAATAGAGCATGAATTATTAATCTAAACCTTCAACCCACTCTTATTGTTAATCTAAAAAAAATAAAATAAAAAATAAAAAAAAAATCACAAAGTGAATTGGCAAATTAGATAATCTAATATATAAAGTTGACCACGAATTTGCTAGAGTCCTACTAAAATGAATAGTGGATGCCAGAATCTTTCTCAAATTAACAATGTGAATATGTGATAGTAATTCACCAGCAAAAAGAATAATAACAAGAAAAATTAAATATCTTCCAACAATTTGTTCCTACTTATCCTCTTACCATATCAAATATTGACATGTGTCACATTTAATTAAACATTTAATGAAATTAATAATCATTGAATCCACTTGTCAAAATTTCATATGGTAGGAGTATAAGTAGGAACAAATTGTAAGAGGATATTTAATTTATCTAATAACAATGAATGCAAACGATTCAATTGTATTGATAGTTTAATTGTATTTCGAGAAACTAATGATCTTTAAGAAGAATTAATCCACTTAACAAAAAAAGACACTTCTCTCTATTCGCAAATATAAGTCCAACCAATGAATTTAAACTAGTTTACCGAGGTTAAGATAAGAACTGTACACTGGTAAATTGTGGAATAGAGGAAGAACAGTAAACAAGCGAAGTATAAACGGATATACGGGAAGAGGGGACGAAAAGTTTCTCAGAGAATTGCTTGTTCACCAAGCTTTTATTAGAAATGTAAGTTGAAAAACTTAATTTTTATTTTTTATAATAATATACTATAACACTTGAATCATGGTATGTTTCATTATTGCCCTTTGGTATTTAAAAGTTGCATTTTTGGTCCTTGTGTAGTACGCAGGGAGTACCATATGGTACGCTTAGCATGCAAGCTGTGAAGCAAGTATGCGGGGCGTACCACACGGTACGATTAACATACTGATGCGAGGTGGGATCGAGGTTCCGGATACGTATGCAAGGTGTACGCATATGTACGTGGGGTGTACATGTCATTTAGTGAAACCCTAATATATAAGGTTGGACACTATATAATCACTCTTGAAGTTGGGTCCTTTTGGGGCATGCAAAGTCACCAACTCAGTGAATTTATGGTTCTAGACGCTTATTAGGGACTAGATATGTGGTTTAGACTTCTGATCTTAAGCATTAAGTGCTTAAAGTGGGTTTTGGCTTAATGGGTGAGTACGTTGGGTGTATAAGTCTTTATGCACTGCTTACAAGACATTTAGCATGTACGCTTAACGTACAGATGAGTACACCCCGCGTACTTAATCTGTTGGGTTATGTGTTTTAGGCTTCGAGGTTGGGCCAAAGTGCTTATTTTCTTATTGGGCCATCTGATTGCACGTGTTTTGGACTAAGAGAATGGGTGGGCTTTAAGTAAGGCTTATGTAAGGGTTTGGGTCCAATTTGGAAAATTGGGCCATGTATGGGCCTTGGATGATTAATTGATTTTAGGCCTTGGATGATTGTAGGTTTGGGCCTTGGTCTTGGACCAAACCA